CCTGCCCTTCTTCCTCCCTGGGCCCTACCCCGGGGCCTACCCCCAGGGCCCACCCCGGGCACCACACCCCACCCCGGGCTGGGACGGGGGCTCCTCAGGTGCCCACCCCGCACACTCTCAGCTGCCCCAGCCCTCCCCACCGCTGGCCAGAGCTCCTCCCGGGCTGACCACTCCCCACAGCCGCCCGCTGCCCAGGGGTGCTTCCGCTGGCAGCCGCCTCGGTCCAGAATATTTTGGGGTGAAATGAGGGGGAAGCGGGCAAACCCTGCCTGCCAGGACGGCTGTGACACCAGCCCCTCAGAGACCACAAGGCTCACAGGTTTCACTCTCTTTAAGGAACCAAACCAAGCCTCCCCACGCACATTCCTCATCTTCTGCCTTTGCTGCTTTCCAAGCCTGCGGGCTGCGCTGCCTTTGCATCTCTAAGCCAGCCTGTGCAAGCTTCTGTCCCCGTTAATTTCTTTGTAAAACACGTAATGGAGAGCACAGGTCCTCACCTAAAAGCTGGCAACAAGGGATGCCAGCAGACTATTTTTTTTTTCCTTTTAATGGATAGTTCATTAGGCTGTAAGCAGGGTCAGGTGCTAAACACTTTTGTTTCCTGGTTTTCATTGTGGTTAGGAAAAAAAATGGATGGATGTTCACATTTGCTGCTATTTGATGGTGACAACAGCAATTAAAGCTCTGAGGATGCACAGAATATAGTCAATATGTATCAAGAAGCATCACTTTGAGTGATTGCTGCTGTTTGCAGCTGGTCACTGTTTCCCAGACAAAGTGTGGTAGGAGCAAACCCTCATCCCTCCATCTCTCACCACTGCTTCTCACCAGATCCTAGACATCAGAATTCATTAAAAAAAAAAAAAAAAAAAACCACACAACCGAAGCAAATGTGTGTTGTTGTTGCAAAACCGTGTGTAGTCTGTACACAGTTATCTGGCCTTTGCGAGTGCCGTTGTGGTATCTGGTGTTATTGCTGCATCGGAAGCAGGTACCACAGAATCAGTTGGATGCACAAACACCCAGATTCCCAGGGATTTTGCAGATACTCCCCGTGTTTGGGATCCCGTCAGGGCCATGAATTGGGTCAGTGTTGACAAGCCATCAGCTAATCGGAACGGCCATCCGTGCTGGAGGATGGACTTTCGCAGAGTTCTTTCCTCCCCAGCCGCCGCCAAAGGATGCTAAGCTGCCTCTTGTGCAATCGCAGAGGCAGCATGTTTGCGTGGGGGAGAAGGATGAGCTGTCGGAAGGCGATATAAGGCACGCGGCCGGGAGCACAAGAGCAACCCAGGGCAGCGGTGGGTGGAGGAGCACAGGGTAGCCTGGCGATGGTAAGTGAGATGAGAACAAGGGGAGATCTTGGCACTGGTGGGATCTCTCAGGACTGCTGCAGTGAGCAAGGAGCAGAGCAGGGAATAAACCCTCCTGGTCCAGAGGTCTGGCGGTTGCAGCCTTTCGGGGTCAGACGGAGGGGGGACGCAAAGTGCTGCCAGACCAGAGTGGGGCTTTTGGCATTGGCTTTGCCCTGCTCTCAGTGCACCCGCAGGGCAGAGGGGTGGCAGAGCATCGCTCCAGCCACCGGCCCCGCTGACTCATACTCACATCTCCGATAAGGAGACTCTGGTGTCCAAGGCTCATCCAGCACCATAGCATTAATTTCCCTAAAGAAATCCATTATCTGCACCAACAGGGGAGATTGACTTAATCTGTGGCTCTGTGGCATTAATTTTAGTTGTGGTTCAGAGCTTTGGGGTTTTTTTATTCTGTTGTCTCCTTGCTATGAATATGGGTTACTGGAAAAGCAAGAATCCTTTTGCAAATCCTAACTCTTCCAAAGAGCTGTAGTAGGAAGAGGAAAACTCCTTTCTTCTCTGGGGAGCCTGGACTGATGCCTCAGCTGTGCGGTTTTACTCAAAGTGCCTGTTCTTACTGAAATGTGGCTTTATCGCTGTCAGCACATCCCTGCAGCTCCGAGGTTTCCCCTGCCTCCTGTTTCTGGAATAGCTACCTAAATTCAGGACAGTATTTGACCTTTGTGTTTGCCTGGAGGGGTTGAGGGGAGATGTTGCTGATCTGTCCCTTTTGGATAGGAAATTACTTTGTGCCATTGAATCTAGGGTTTTTGGAGGAAATACGGTACAGAAATTATCACACCCATGCTTGAGGCTTGGATTCTTCTGAGTGACTGCAAACATCTCCAGTGAGCACACTCAAACCTGGAGTTACCCAGAGCCTGCTTATTTTTACAGGAAAGGACTGTGAGATGTTTGCTGCTGGTCTCTGCCCTCTGCCTGGCTGGCGGTGAAGGCAACAAGAGTGAGTCTCCCTGTACACAGTCCCTGGTGGGTCACAGACAGGTAGTATGGAAAGGAGAGCTCAAACCCTCACCTCCATGTGCAGGTTCCTCATTCAGGGCACTGCTGGGGCCATGGACTGGGCTGCAAGAGCCGGCAAAATAGGCAGAAACCTCAGGCTCTCCATCCCAGACACGTACGATATATAACCTGTGCAGAGGGGCACGGGTGCTGTGACAGGCCACCACTTTCCTTGCCACCTGGTGGCAGGGCTCTATAGCTCTGATCCAGGTGACAGCCATGCCGAGGAGCTCTCCCAGGCTCTCAGTCACATCCTCCCAGACAAACCAAGGTGGCAGGTTCTTCCTCAGCTGTGCCTGCTCTGGTTCTTAGCAGGGATCACAGCCCTTGCAAGCTGGGCAGGGCTTCGTCCTATGGAGCGTGTTTGCTCTCATGTCAAGATATTCTTGCTGCGTTTGGGCTTACTCGCCTTTCCTCTGCTGCAGGTGAGCTGGCGAGCCCACACGACCCGAGGCGAGGGGTTGCTCTCCGTCCCAAGAGGAGCCTGGACGCCTGCCTGCCAAACCTGTGCCAGCATCAGGGCGAATGCCAGGTGATGGAGGACAGACCCGTTTGCAGGTGCAAACCAGGCTTCACAGGCGCATTTTGCCAAGGTAGGTGCTGGTGAGCCCTCCCCGGTCTGTCCATGAACACCAGAGGGAAGGGTGATGGGCACGGTGCACTGACGTTGCCGCTGCTCTCCACTGCAGTCTCCAGGAGCACATCCCAGCTCCTGGTTCAGGTGCTTCCCCACCACCACCGCCATGTCCTGACAAAACCCAGTCATAGGCCATTTCCTTCCTCCCCAAAAGTCTCGATTCCTCTAAGAAGGAAACCTCAGCTATCAAGAAGCCCATGCTGTGGTGCAGCCGTGTCAGGGCAGCAGGGCATGCTGCAGACCCCACCTGGCTCGCAGGCTTGGCACAACCACGTGGGCTCCAGCACGGCCACAGTGAAGGCTCCTGCCCGACGCTGGCCAAAAACTGTGTCTTCTTCATCTGAAAGAGAGAGAGGGTCGCTGTCCCTGTCTGGTGCCCTTGGCAGATTGCTGTGACTCTAGACAGCCCTCGAAAGGGGCCAGACCCACAACATCTGCCTTTGGTGACATCTTGAGCTTAAGGACTATGTCTGTACAGAGTAGTGGCAGCCGTGAACTTGTGCAGGTCTTAGGCAACCAGTAGAAAATTACAGACCCACATTAACTTCTGCGCATTCCCAAAGGTTTGTCTTTTGCCTGGTGTCTTTGAAGAGCCCCACCAGCAGCCTCCAACAAGGCTGGATGAGGGGTCTCTTGAGCTCAGTGGGTCTGTGCCATCCCATCGCTGACCTAGGGCTCCTTCAGGCCTCTTCCTTACTGCTACTGGAGATGGCTTTTTCCCCTAGATGTGGTACTGAAGCTGGCCTGCGAGGAAGAGCACATGAAGATGATGGTGAGGAAGGAGGTGTTTGAACTCTTGAAAATCCCGCGTGAGCTTGTCCGCTTGAGGAACCGGGCGTGCAAGGTCTCAGAAAGGGAAGAAGAGGGCGAGCTGTTTTTTGCAGCCATTCTCACAGGTGAAAACCACACTGCCTGTGGATCAATAATTCAGGTGAGGGTCCACCAGAGCCTCTCTGCATAACTGAAGTGGTGAGAGGAGCAGACATGCTGAGTGGGGACAGCAAGGGGAAGACTTGGAGGCTTTTCCTTTTATATCTGGGTGCTGTAAAGTTCTCATTCCCCTTGAAAGGCTTCCCTGGGGGCTGTCAGTAAGCTCTTCTGCTTCCACCAAACCCCTGCTGGCAGCACATCTTGTATTATTCAGCAGAGCATGGAAGTCTCAGTGTACTCTTTACTAGCTGATAACAGCCCTTGGCTTTCTGGCAGTGTCCTCTGAGCTCTGCAGCCCTGGCTATAGCCCCTCAGTCCCTCACTTGACTCATGGGCCAGGGAGGGTGTGGAGGAACCTGTGCTCCAACTTTGCATTGCACAGGAGAGCCCCCACCTGTGGCCAGGATGCTGACTCCTGCCTACTCTGGTGATGGTTGCCAGTAGACCCTGGGTACAGGGCTTGAGCAAAAACCCCAGCAGATATCCAGGAAGCCTGGAGCAGCTGTAGCTGAGTTACACCCCCTGAACTGGAGCTTGGAGCTCTGTGTATGGACTTAGACATGGTCTGGAGACTTGGTTTCTGTGTCATTCCAGCAAAACAGCTCCCATGTGTCATACTCCAATGTCATTGAGTCGGAGCAGGAAGCAGGCAGGGGCGTGATCTCCCGAAGTGTTCAGCTGGAGGTGCATTTCTCCTGCATCTACGCCTACGAGCAGGTGGTGAAGCTGCCCTTTGCTCTCACTGCTGTTGACAGGTGAGCAGTCCCTCTTCACCTTGCTGCTGGCATGGCATCCGTGAGCTTGCAGAAAAATAGATGCTTTCAATGAGGTGATCTGCAAAGGCCCTAGGGAGCCACTGGAGAGCTCTGAGAGCAATGCCACCTCAGGGTGCCTCCCTTTCTCTTACCAACATAGTTTTTTCAACACAAGTTTTGGGCTTGGAACAGAGCCAGAGAGGGGCATGCACAATCTACCTTTCTCCTGTCCTCATTGCTTGAAACCAGCTAGCCAAAATTAAAGGCTGGGAACTGGAAGATGCCCCCACCAGACCCCTGTGGAGGTGCAGGGCAACCCCCAGGTGGCCTTTTTTGTAGCCCTCACTGGCCAGCCAGTTGGTGGGAACCCTGCCTCTGTCCGCACACTGCACAGACGTACCAAGCAGGAGGCAGCTCAGGGCACGGCTCTCACGAGGCTCCACGCAGGAACAGAGGCACATCCAGAGTCAGTGCACCTCTGCCAGTGGCCTGACTTGTGCTATGTCCTTCCTGCCTTCTTGTTCTGCTTGTGAGCTCTCCTCCTCTCCTCTCAGGCTGGTGCAGTTTGTGGTCAGAGAAGGACATTTCAACGTCAGCATGAGACTGTACAAGACCCGCTCCTACCTCCAGCCCTATCACCTGCCAACCACAGCCATCCCTGTCATGGACACGCAAAAAAAAAAGGACAGCACCAGCTCAAGTACTTCTTGCTGAGTGTTGAGGACTGCTGGGCCACGCCAAGCGCAGATCCCTACCAGGCTGTGCGACACAAACTCATTGAGAAGGGGTGAGTGGAGTGCCCCTTGCGCCATGAGCACAGTTGTGTCTCTTTGCTTCTAAAGACAGGTTGCTGTGAGGGACCAGTGAGCAGTGACACCATCATTGCTCATAGGTGGAACCCATGGTGGACACCATCATTGCACAGGTGGAACAGCCCCACAGATGAGCCCCCTAACTGCTCTGAACTGAGCCCCCTCTCCTGACCCTGCTCTGCAGCCAATAGTGCTGCGTTCCCCCTAGCGTCACTCCTGGCCCGCTGGAGAGGCAAGGAGGAGAGAGGGGAGACCTTGCTGGGATGTGCAGAGAGGTATCTGCTGAAAAGCTTGTGTTAGAGGTGGCTGCAGCCAAGTTAAAGCCGGTAACATGGATATCCAGGAAGCGGGAGCCACAGCCAGGCTCCCTCCACCCCTGCAGAGCAGCTGTGGCCCCACAGAGCAAGACACAAGCCGGGTCCTGTGCTGGTGGCAGCTCCTCCCTGAGCTGGGCACAATGCAGGGTGCCAAGGGAAAACATCCCCACCAACACCGAAACAGAAATAGTCCTACTCAGCAAAGCCTGGGGGCAGCACCCTGTGTGTGCTGGTGTCCCAAGCTGGGATGCTCCCCCTCGTTTGCCACCTACTGACTCAGCCGTGGTGCCCCAGGTGTCCCCATGACAAGACAGTGGCATACCTGAACACCATTGGAGAGAGCACTACTGCCAAGTTCAGCTTCCAGATGTTTCAGTTTGTTGGTTACCCCGAGGTGTTCCTGCACTGCCGTGTCCAGCTGTGTCTCCCTGACAGCCCGGAGCCCTGTGCCAAGGTGAGCTCTCCCAGTGCTCTACGCTGTGCCCTGGCCTGCTGTTTGGAGAAGGGGCTCTGCTCGGGTTTTGGGTCCCTCAGCAGAATAAACACCTCCCAGCAGCAGGAGCTCATCCCAGCACCCTGAACTAAAGGTACAAGAGCTCGAACCCACCGGAGAGCTCCTTTCCCTCTTCCCTCTGTCTAGTGGGTATTTGCAGGAGAGGTTTCTGCTACGACTTCAGGCTTCTGCAGGCTAAGGTCCTTCAGGAGCCAGCTCCTCCCATGCTCTGGGGTCTTGACTGCACCCAGGCTGCAGCCCCAACTGTGCCTCTGCCAGAGAGAGACCATCAGGACAGCTCTTTGCCCACCAGAGCGGGCTTCTCCCCTGCCCTCTGCTCCCATCACCCTTCCCTTGCCTTTGTTGACAGCAATGCCCCTGGCAGTGGAGGAGCAAGCGGGCGCTGGCAGATGACTACAATAAGATTGTCTCCTACGGGCCCATCCACCTGCTGGCTGCTCCTTCCCTGGGAGCAGAGACCCACCATTCCAGGACTGAGCAACAGGACCGGGGGGGTATGTATGTCCCTCTGGGGAGGGCAGGAGCAGCTCACAGACCCTTGCAACTGTCTGGGCAATGCCAGGTTATTAAAAAGGGTTGCTAAAATCACTGCCCTGCACAGAAGCGTGGAGTCCTTTGGGTGTTATAACCACATCCAGAAGGCAAAGGAGCACAGAGAGTTTATCCCTGCATGAACACCTCCATCCCAGGTGCACATCAGGCTGGGCAGGGGAGCTGGGCAGGAGGGGACCAGAAGCCAGAAGGCTGTTGGTGCAGCACCCCAGGGGAGGAAGGTTGGGTTTTCCTGCTCATCTTCCACATCAAACCAGCAAGACAGGCTCCTTCTGAGCACCAAGGTCAACCCAAGAGACCCAAGGAGCAGTCCAGGACCAGGGCTGGGGGAAAGCCCACCTACAGCATAGCTCAGACCAGGCATGAATGCTGACTAAATGGAGCCCCTGGGCAGTGGGTGTGGGTGGAGACCCCAGGTGAGGGCAGTTGGGGTGACTGAGTCCTGTTAGTGCCCTCAGGGGTACCCCCAGCTCCCGCAGCTCTTACTCTTCAAAGGAGATAACCCCCCGCGAATCTGCCCCCAGCCAGGAGATGCCGTGTCAGGGCTCAGTGCCAGCTCTAGGGACCCAGATGTGTAACCAACCTTTCTCCGCTCCAGCAGGACCCAGTCCGTGGCTCCCCGGGGGCCTCATCCTGCTCTGTGCACTTGGTGTGCTCACCATGGCTGCTGCAGCTGTCAGCGCCAGGCAGCGAACAGCATAGAAAGCGGCTGTCTCCAAATAAATGTGACAGTAGCAGAGGGGCTCTTCCCTGTGTCTTTACGGCGGTTTTTTGGGAAGGAGGTGGTGGTTGGATGCAAACGGTGCTTGAAGAATGAGTCACATCAGGGTGTTCCTGTTCCCTGTAGCATCCCCAAGATCTTCTCATCCCCTCCTGGCCCACGCTGTCTAGACTCAAAACACGTACCCAGGAAAGCTCTGGCATAAAAGCAGGTGAGGGCATGCTGCTATGCTCCGCAGGATCCAGCAGCAGCAAGTCCTGCCTCCGGGCTTGGCCTAGAGATGGTGGAAAGGAGAAGGAGAAACTAGTTTTTTTGCCCAGTCTTCCTTACCCTGGGCGGGTGGTTGGTTTTGGCAGGGGTAGACCCCACTGCACAGAGGCATTTCTGAAGTGATCTCATCCATAGGGAATGAATTTCCAGAAACCTGGAGTGAGGAGAGGGATGGGAGGCTCCTTCCTCCTGCTTTTCTCCTCCCCAGAGAGTCAGCCAGGTGCGTGGGGAGATGGAGGTAGGATGGAGCAGGGCACTGGTGGCTCAGAGGAGATGCTCCCCAGGGTGGGGTGAGGGATGGGCGAAGGCTGTGGTGGACCACCACGAGCACCCTCCTGGGACCCTCCCCCAGCAGACGGGAGCCCAACCCCACTGCTCCAGAGTGGGGGCTGCTTCCACCGTGTACTCGCTGTGCTGAGCTGCTGCTGCCCTCCTGAGCTGGGGGTGGCCTTGGTTCTGGGACCCAGGCTTGCCTGGGAGCAGCTCTAACTGTCCCTATGCAGCTATGGGTGGCACCCAAGGGGCCACCGAGGTGGGGCAGGCAGGGGACAAGCAGGAGCTGCAGGGAGGGGGGATGTCACCAGGAGGAGGGTGCAGAAGGTGAGATGGTCACGGGAGCAGACTGTCCCTTTGTCCCTGGGCTGTGTGACACATCCGCTGCTGCTCCAGCCCTGCCACTGGCACAGGGGGACAGCCGTGAGCACCGGGCACAGACCCCTGTGCCAGCCCCACGCCCAGCCCCGCCAAGGACCATACCTTTGCTGGGATCCCAGAAGACACATTGCGGGGTAATGTCCTGCAAGCAGTGAGAGCAGCGTCACCCGACGCCACAGTGAGGGGCACCAGAGCAGAGACAGAGGGAGGGCACGGCTGACTTACCTGGGGCAGCTGCCCGTGGGCGAGGGTGAGCTGCACGGGGTTCTGCAGCCCAGAGATGCTTGTCTCTCCCACTGTGATGCCCACCATGGTACCATCCAGGATCTGCACTGTCTGGTTGATGTCCTGCATGGGGGCAATGCTGCCTGACCCGAGCCAGCAGGCAGGGAGAGCTGTCAGCTAGAGGGATGCCGCAATGCCAGCTCCTACCTCAAACATGCCAGACTGCTGGCTGTTGAGGACTGTCACCACCATGTGCGCTGTCTTGCTGCTCAGGGACTGCAACGTCTCCCTGGGGAGCTGGATTTTGCCCGTCTTCCCCCGTCTCCGTCATGTTCAGTATCCTATAGCCCTGCAGCGGAGAACAGCGGTGGGGGGTTGCTTGCTGGCAGCTTCACCTCTGCTTGGGACCCACCAGCCTTGCTCCAGGCACAAATTCAGCCCTTCCCCAGGTGGGTTTTGCTCAGCAACATCAGCAGGAGCCCCAAGGGCAGAAGGGGAGACCTCCATCCTGAGCAGCAAAGGTGCAGAGCTGGGAGCAGCTCCCAGGAGAGCCCCAACCCGCCATCACCCCATGGGACATGTTCTGCTCCCCAGAGGCTGGGAGAACCTGAGGGTGGCCTGAGGCACAAGGTCCCACACATTCCTCCTCCCCCTCTTCCTCCCTCTCCCCGTGACTCCCCACCGCTGGGACGGCTCCTTGAGGAGGACTCTTCCCTCCCAAGCACCATTTCCCAGGACCCCTCGCCAAGGGAAGCAGAGATGACGTGGGTCCGTGATGCAACCGTGGAGCAGGGTGGAGGAAGAGCCACGCCATGGCACACCAAGCCCTGGAACAAGGACAGAGGGATGCCTGGAAGGCATGGGGCCCTCCAAGTGAGGGAGCGGGGCCGCATCTCACCTCAGTGGGGGAAAAGCCGATGAGGACATCACGGGTGACAGCCCTGCTGACATTCAGGAGCAGCACCTTCAGCCCAGCCAGCCTTCTGCACAGTGCCGGCCCCGCCGGGGGACATGGGGGGGTTGAGCCCCCAAACCCTGCCACGGCCACCCCTGCGCCAGCGATCCCGCATGCAGGGCTGCCAGAGCGCCCCACCTCCAGGCAGCGCTGGGGCAAGTTGGGGCTGGGTGTCCCATCGCCTCGCTCCTCCAATGCCACCATTGCGTCACA